TTCAATAATGTCATGGCGCGATCCATGATTCGCGTCAAAGTTTTCTATGGCAGACTTGTGTCGAGTTAGAGAGGCCTTTGCGGCTGTGCGTTTAGTTTTAGCCTCTGACAATGATATCGAATCCATGCTTATGATTCTTACGTTATCGTTGGTGAATTGAGAATAATGCCCTTTATTGTGAAAGGAAGCGCATGCGTGTGCATATAAAGATATACGTATATGTGAGAACGTATATGTAACGAAGTTTCGAGAAATGAAAAGCCAATATGGCGGTCAAATGTGAAGACGCATGCAATATGGCTATCTTACCTTGAGTAAACGAAACAATCTTACCTAAAAGATTACTTATGCTTGTGCTTGCAGCTTATGAGCACGCTCGAATGAGAATTTGAATGAAATTCAGGTTATACCCTCTGTATCGCTGGGACGGATTCCTTGTTATCCTCGTATCCGGCTCGAAGGACCAAATGTGCGGGCATGTGCCTCTATGCGCTATGTGTAGCGCTATTTTCTCCTTTGAAACGCCTTGTGGCTCAAGTTTTAATTGGTTATGCTTGGTGCAATTTGTAACAGTGCTCGAAGGACCAGTGTTGGCAAGAAGCAACACGAAAAAGAGTTGACAATGATACTTATTTATTCTTATAAAAATCATGCATGTGCATGCTTGACAAGCGTAGAACACAGAAGTAAGCGAACTAGTAAGAAGAAAACGGAAGTGGCGCACGAGCAGATACGGAAACGAGCGAACGCAAACGAACGCAGAAACGAGCGCTGATGAGCGAACGCTGAGGAGAAGGGGAACGTAGGTAGCGCTCCTTTCAGGAGGAAGGAGCGTAGCAGAGCGAGCGAAAATACAAAAGTGAAAACGTACATAGCGCATACAATAGGTAAATTGTTGTTCGGTTTTAATTAATTCTCGGCGAGCTGTATCACTCAGGAAGGTCCCGGTCTGGACTTTCCTAATTATGAGGACTCCTAGCCGGCGAAGGGCCTCTATTTTCTCCCGCTTTCGGAGTCCCGCGCGATGTCCATTGCGCTAGACCATCTACCGAAGCATGTCTCTTGTTTAGGAAATCGTAGGGAGGACAAGTAAGGGAAGGTGGAAGGAGAGTGAGAGAGAGAGAGAGAGAGAGAGAGAGAGAGAGAGAGAGAGAAAGAGTCAATCGCTTGAAGCGTTGGTCGCTTAAATGATTTTGAAAGATAAGAGAGTGAATTGTTTGAGGCGTGTTGCCGCTTAAGCAATTCTATAGGAAAAGGAATAAATCGCTTGAAGCGTTAGTCGCTTAAACGATTTTGGAAATAAGAGAGTGAATAATTGTTTGAGGCGTGTTGCCGCTTAAACAATTCTATAGGAAAAGGAATAAACCGCTTGAAGCGTTAGTCGCTTAAACGATTTTGGAAATAAGAGAGTGAATTGTTTGAGGCGTTTTGCTGCTTAAACAATTCTAATAAAAAGAATAAATCGCTTGAAGCGTTAGTCGCTTAAACGATTTTGGAAATAAGAGAGTGAATAATTATTTGAGGCATGTTGCCGCTTAAACAATTCTAATAAAAAAAAAATAAATTGCTTGAAGCGTTACCCAACTAGCAAGGTCACGTGATAATGACGTGAATTTTTGGTACAAATAACGTCAATTATGACATAAAAGTAACGTTATTCTGACATATATATCACTTGATTATGTCACATCTTATTGACGTTATTTTATTACGTCAGGGAGACGTAAATATGACTAAAAAGTATTATTAGTGTCACTATACTAGTGCAATAATGCAGTAGTAAATTCGTATATACTTCGTCTAGAAATTTAAGTAGAATACCGGTCAGTTTTCCCTATAATTACTATTTGATTGTTAAAGTAAGTATTACTAATTAGCATCAATTTTAGAATGAAATCGTGAAAAAAAAATTTTTTCTAAATTCGAGAATTAATTTTTTTTCATGATGCATCTCAAACGGTCACCCATTCGAAGTTGTACCACGACTTCGCATGCTTAACCTTGACAATCGTACGGGAACTGCTGTACTTCGATGACCCACGAATCTGTATATGTCAACGTCTGTATAATTGTGATATATCTGTTCAATGGAAATATTGAAAACAGATGGTTTATGTGTTTATATGATAGTGTATGTATTAGTATATGTAGCATTTCCGCAAGTGTAATGCGCATGACATATCATTTTATCCTTGTTTTTCATCGAATATTAAAGGATAAAATGATACATCATATAACAATACACAAATAATAACAAAAAATAATTGATTAGTAATAGTCATATTGTATATGACGTCAATGTAACATCTAGTTGACGTCATATCGGTGACGTCAACTTTTGGTATTACAAATGACGTCAAAATAACGTTCCATTTGTAATGTGAAAGCACGCTCTTTATTAAGGCTTTAACAAACAAAATTTGTACGTACATAAAACTTTACACATAACCAAACAGAGTCTTAGTTTATACGTTATACACTATAGATTTATCGATAGCATCGAACAGTCCTACCAACGTAAATCGATATGGAGCGACAGACGACAGCGCCAACCCTAGAATATTACCACATTCATCCCTGCCCTTTTAGAATTTAGTTTCATAATCCGACAAGTATGAAGGGGGGCGTCTTAAACGTGCAGGGCGTTGAATTTCTTCTCGATCCTCCGGTGGCTGTGGTCGCTCGGGGGTGCCTTGATCTGGTAGATCAGGATTTGGTAAATCCTCCTGAGGTTCTGATGGTTGAGGTTCCGGGAGAATAATTTCACTGTCTCCGTCCTCGTCCAAGATTTCTCCTCGCGGGGCAAGATGCCGAGTTGAAACTGTAGTTTTCCGACCATTTTGTAACCTGACGTACGCATATTCCGGGTGTGCTTCTGTTGTGCCGCTACTTGCGGCACGGGATTCGGGATCCACCAAGGATTCGGAAGCAGCAATTAATTATTGGAACACTTTTATTTTTTATAACTTTGAATAACAATCTGAATAAACTTTATTAATTTCACTTTCATACACAAAATATTTATTTCACATATATCACTTACACTACGCGTGTCGCGATATAACTTTAAGATCGTATTCGAGCAGAGTGACGCGCTACAACTTGTTAAAATTACTGACTCCACTCTGCATCGGTCTTCTCATATTTATTTGAATTATTGAGGTCTCTGACCTTCATATTCGGCGCTTCTCGTTAGCGTTCCGCTAATCGGTCGAGGGCGTGATCGCGTAATCGCGTCGCGCTCGCGGTTTTAATATTATATTAAACTTATTATTAAACTTATTTCGCCGCGCGTTCCGGTAATCGGTCGAGGGCGTGATCGCGCAATCGAGTTGCGTTCGCGATTCATTTATATTATTAATTTATATTATTCTTATTTCTCGTCTTCGTTATTTCTCAGTTATGGCGCAATTGTCACTTGTGCAATTTAGCACTCGTGACACTTCTATCAGTTCGACCTCCTCCACTAATGGATCATGTTTACTTGTGTGAACGTGTCTTTTCATTAAAACTGGTCCAGACTTAGTCAACCAGGTTGGCATTGAGTTGCCATTGAACGACCTCCTAGGATGATTGAACATTCGCTCGTGTGGTGTAGAGTTTGTCGCTGTGCAGAGAAGCAAGCGGATGGAATGCAGTGCAATGTCTAGTACTTCCTTCCAATGCTCTATTTTAGTATTGTTGGATCGTAACGCTAGCATGACAGTCTTCCATATGATTCCATTGTATCTTTCTACCTGTCCGTTTCCTCTTGGATTGTAGGGGGTTGTTCGGCTGGTTGCTACGCCTTGAGAAGTCAGGAACGTTTTAAGTTCTTGTGACATGAACGAGGCGCCCCTGTCCGAATGTATATATGCGGGAGTCCCAAAAACTGAGAAGAGGTGAGCCAAATGTCGTATTACCATAGACGCACTAACGTCCGCACATGGTATAGCGAAAGAAAATCTTGAAAATTCGTCTACCACAGTTAGAATGTATTGATTTCTAGTCTTTGTTAGTAAAGGGCCTTTGAAATCCAAGTTTAGTCTTTCAAATGGTGAGGTAGCTTTTATCAGATTCCCCTCGACTTTATGGAAACGTGGTTTCAATTCCGCACAAACCCGACATGATTTTGTAACTCTCTTCACATCTTCAGTGGAGAATGGTAAATTCTTGACACGAACCCAGTGACATAATCGAGATATGCCAGGGTGGCAGAGCGCGGTGTGTAAAGTATCAAGGTCCATACTTGGAGTCATGGAGGCACTCGTTCTAGATAAGGTATCCGCTGACACATTCTCAATTCCTGGGCGATAAATTATATCGAACTTAAAAGAGGAGAGTTCTAAACGCCATCTTATGATTTTCTCATTTTTAATCTTACTAGAATGTCGTTGATTAAACATAAAAGAGACAGAGTGTTGATCCGTAATAACTTCAAAATAACGACCGATTAAGTAATGCCTCCAGTAGCGTAAAGATTCCACAATAGCATAAGCCTCTTTTTCTATGGAAGAGTGTTGTATTTCCGTTTTATTTAGGGTTCTGGAAAAGAATGCGACAGGTCTGCCAGCTTGGCTTAGTGTGGCCGCTATCGCAAAATCAGATGGGTCGGTTTCTACTCGAAAAGGTATATTGTCTTGTACCGCGGCTATTGTTGCCTTGGCTATGTCGTCCTTCAAACTCTTAAATGCTAATATGGCTTCATTCGATAACGGGAGTGGATTCTTGAGCAGTAGAGGACGCACTCTTTCTGAAAAATTCGGTATCCACTTGCAATAGTGCGAGAACATGCCTAAAACTCGCCGTAGAGAAGCAATATCCTGAGGAATTGGTAGGTCAAGCAAGGGTTGAAGGCGATCCGGGTTAGGCTTAATTGTCTTATTAGAGATTACGTATCCAAGTAAAGTGACAGATCTGACAGAGAAAATACATTTCTTTTGGTTTAGCGTTAAATTGTACTTCTGGGCCGCTGCTAAAAATCTCTCTAGGTTACGATCATGCTCTTGTTGGGTTTTCCCACATATCGTGACGTCATCCAGATATGGAAAGGTGTCTTCAAGTCCTTCGTCTTGCACTATTTGGTCTATTATTCTTTGAAAACATGCTACTCCATTCGTTACCCCGAACGGAACACGTAAGAATTGGTAAAGTTTTCCACCGGCTTCAAAGGCGGTATATTTTCTTTCAGATTTTAAAATCGGCAATTGATGATAGGCACTTTCGAGATCTATTGTGCTAAAGACTTCATTCGCCGAGACCTTTGTGATTATTTCTTCGATCCTCGGAAGGGGATATGCATCCAGCATTGTGAACTTATTTATTGTCTGCGAGTAATCAACAACCATCCTTACTTTGTGATTTTCCTCTCTCACGACTAAAGCTTGTGCGTGCCACGGAGAATTGCTAGGTTCTATTACACCTTCGTTCAGTAGTCTTTTAACCTCAGAGTCTATGAATTTGTTATTTTCTTCAGAGTGTCTTCTAGATTTAGTGGCTATAGGTTTACAATTAACATCTAAGTTAGCAAAAAGCGAAACCGGGCGCACTTTGGCAACCGCCAAGCTACAGATTGAGAGAGAGGGAGGCGGGCCCTGGAAAACTATGTTTACCGAATTCTGACGTTGTAAGATGTCATGGCCAATTATAGCATCTGAGCAGAGATCTTTCATTACCAATATCGCAACATCTTTGTAAGTATTTCCTCCTATTTCCACATCGGCTATACATCGTCCTATTATATCTGATGATAGAGAGGAATTTGCCATCGTAATCTTGCCAAGGTATGGTAACGGGTTTATACGGCATCTTCCTACAAGAGAATGATTAATGAAGCTTAGAGAGCTCCCTATATCTATTAGAGCATTCAACTCAGTTCCGTTTACTTTAATTGCCACCAGGAAGTAAGATATAAGGAGACTCCACTCCGTAAAATAAAAGTGGACCCATTTTAGGTTTCGAGTTCAGCTTCCGATTCTGATGAGTGCGAGTAAGAGAAATGATCATTTCTCTTACTCGCACTCATTATGCGCAGCACTACTAAATTCACAAGCGCTGCGAGTGTCGAGAATCGGAAACGGAACTCGAAACCTAAAATGGGTTCATGTCTTGCAGACTGGCGAGACCGAGTGGAGTCTCCTTATATCTTCCTTCATGATTGCCACTATAGATTTCCGAAGACAGCTAGGCGACACCGTGGCCAGGGACGCTAGAGTGCCAGCAGACGCCGTAGTATTAAATGCAGCATTATTAGAAGGCTGTGACTTACATACACGTTGGTAGTACCCTTTTTTACCACATAACCTGCATTCCACGTTTCTCGCCGGACATTGCACTCTGGGGTGTATGTTTCCCCCACAGAAATAGCACTTCCCCGATTTTGAAGCACCAGCCACAGTCGCCTCAGAAACCTTTGAATCTTGAGCAATAATTTCTTTTGACGAGGCGGTAACTGTGCTAGATAAGCCAGAATAAGATGCAGAGTGTCGCTCAGCCATTTCCAAGGCTCGAGCTTGGTCATAAGCAGCATCTAATGTAAGCGTCACGTTTTCAAGTAATCTTTGTCGAATGTGCGGACAACTCAAGCCACTAATAAACGCATCCCTAATATATTCATTCTTACTTTGCTCAGCGGTAACATTTTTGAAGTTACAATCCTTACTTAGTTGCTTTAAAATCTGAAGATACTGGTCCACTGACTCATCAGTGAGTTGTCGTCTCGTGGTTAAACAATGCCTGGCATAAATCTCATTTCTAGGTTTTACGTACAGTGATTCTAAGACATCGATGGCACTTTCGTACGTACTGGATTCGCTAACATGCTGATACACTTCAGGTGCTAAGTAGTTTGTTAGCAGCTGCAACTTATTTTCCTCAGTCGCGTCTCCGAATTTACTCAAGAAGTTCAAGAACGTTCGTTTCCAATGCGTCCATTGTTTGTCCGCGGAAGTAGAGGTTGGTTCCACGTTAAATCTTTCGGATCTCAAGTACTTGTCCATCATTCAGTGATTTAAGGATTTTGTTTGTTAAATTGTAATGTGAAAGCACGCTCTTTATTAAGGCTTTAACAAACAAAATTTGTACGTACATAAAACTTTACACATTACCAAATAGAGCCTTAGTTTATACGTTATACACTATAGATTTATCGATAGCATCGAACAGTCCTACCAACGTAAATCGATATGGAGCGACAGACGACAGCGCCAACCCTAGAATATTACCACACCATTTATGTCACTTGACGGCATTGTCATCAAAATTACTTCATAATCACGTCATTATCACGTGAGCTTGCTAGCTGGGTAGTCGCTTAAACGATTTTGGAAATAAGAGAGTGAATTGTTTGAAGCGTGTTGCCGCTTAAACAATTCTAATAAAAAAAGAATAAATCGGTTTTGAAAAATAAGAAGGTGAACTGTTTGAAGCGTGTTACCGCTTAAACAACTCTATAGGAAAAAGAACAAATCGCTTGAAGCGTTGGTCGCTTAAGCGATTCTGAAAATACAGAGAGAATAAATTGTTTAAAGCGTCTTGACGCTTAAATAATTCCAGAGTAGAAAGAGTAAATCGCGTGAAAAAGGAGGAAAAATAAAGAGCGAGGGAATGTAGACGGTCACAAAATGAATTTAACATAAATAAATAAGAAAAGGGAAAAAAGAAAAGAAAAAAAATTGACCTCTTACTTTTGGGATGAATGAGCTCTTGATGAATTGTGATCGGAGTCCCTTGAAGATCGGGGCCTATGTACTGGACCAAGATCCTGGACTGGTTGGATGTAGTCACTGATCCGCTTCAGTCATGGGAACTCAAAAATTTAAATGATATCACACGCAAACTACCGAGTGCAAAAAGTTCTATCGAGTGCGATTCCAGTGTAATGTCTAAAATGGAAATGGAAAGTAACTGTCTATGGAAACCAAGGAAGTGTCAAAGTGACTAGTGACTAGTCACTAGTAACTTTAGCACAGTATATACAGTAGCGCAACTCTCTGTCGGCACCTGTGATGTTAGTGAAGCCTAAAATGGAGTGCACATGCGCGAAATGGGTAACTTGCCCAGTAACGCCGTCTACACTTCTATCTCACTTGCTTTAGTTCCTCTTTCTCTCTGTTTCTTTCTAGCTGCCTAGGTTATTTGTATGAACAGCAAATTAAATTGTACAAAAACTAAAAGAAATAGATTTATAATTGTAATTGCATTGCAAAATAAAAAAAACAAAAATAAGAAAATATAAAATTTCATAAATATTATATAAATATATTGTAAAAATATTTTAATTAAAGTTCGGCACACGATGCTTGTTTTCCTGTAAATTGCTTGCGTTTTTGAAAATTATTAGAATTGTACGACAGAGAATTAACGCAGATTTTTAGCTAAAACGTAAGCAATTCAACAGAAAAACACAAGTATTATGTTCCGCAGATTTAAAATATTAATATAAACAATAAAAGGTAAAATTTATAACTGTTATACAAATTACGTTTAAGAAAACAATTACTATAATGATTATAATTATGTATCTAATAAAATAATTTTACATTAAATTAAGAATGAGATAATAATTTTTATGCATCTAAAATAAAAATAATCAACTAAAAATGAGATAAAAGAAGTTTTAAACTTAATATAACAATAATTTAGAAAACAAAGTTTTTCACTTATTTCACAGCAATACCTGGAACAAAGCTAAGATAAAAAGTGCTTCCAAGATGATAAATAACTTATACAACAGTTGTATAAGTTAACTATTCTCTTAAAAGAGATCGTTCCTCGTTTCACTTAATATTTTTCACTTTTTCACGTCTTTCACTCTTGCACTGTTTTATTTCCACAAACTTTCCAGTCACAAACAGTTTTTCTAACTAACACAACTCAATCAAACGGCAATTATACTAATTTTCTTCAAATTTCAGCTTTCTAAGCACATAAACAAACACAGGATATTTAAACGGAAGCATTTAAATGGTCCTGACAGAGAGTGATAGAGAGAACGGATAAGAAGAAGTGAGATAGAAGTTTAGATGGCGTTACTGGGGTTAACTTTGTAGGGATTTCTAGTACTTTTAAGTTACACCTTGTACACTCTACACACCTCTTACACTTTTTAGTTTCGTAACACATCTAGACATTACACAGTTTATGTTCATCTCTCTACACGTTATTCTCGACGCATTTTTACCGCCTTCCTTTCAACTACAAGCGTCGCCTTTGTAACTTTCAATAAAGACTTATATTATATTGTACAAGTGTTTCGTACTTCGTACCCGGGATAATACTAACGAACGTGCAACTTATATTACCGATTTCGCGCATGCGCACTCCATTTTTGCCAACATAAAATCAGGAGAGTTGCCATACTGTATGTAAGCAGTCAGTGCCACAGTATATACAGTAGCGCAACTCTCTGTTGGCACCTTTGATGTTAGTGAAGCCTAAAATGGAGTGCGCATGCTCAAAATGGGTAAGTTGCCCAGTAACGCCGTCTACACTTCTATCTCACTTGCTCTAGTTCCTCTTTCTCTCTGTTTCTTTCTAGCTGCCTAAGTTATTTGTATGAACAGCAAATTAAATGTACAAAAACTAAAAGAAATAAATTTATAATTGTAATGCGTTACAAAATAAAAAAAAATACAAAAATAAGAAAATATAAAATTATGTAAATATTGTATAAATATTATACTGTAAAAATATTTTAATTAAAGATCGGCACATGATGCTTGTTTTCCTGCTAAATTGTTTGCATCTTTTGAAAATTATTAGAATTGTACCATACAGAATTAACGCAGATTTTCTAGCTAAAAC